CACGGCCAGCCTGGGATTTTTTTCAAATTCGGTTTCGGAAGGCATTCTAAATTATGTCTGGGCGGTTGTGCTGGCAACGCACGTTGGGGGTTTTGCTTGCATTATAAGTTATTGTGTGGCAGAGCGATGGGCTTTAATTTAACGTTACGTCATTGTGATTTCTTTCCTAGGAATCGCCTGTGGGCAAGGAATATTTGTTAACGTTTATTTTGTGCCTGCTGAAGTAGCATGATTGTAAACAAGAGTAATAAGCAGTGAGCGTGGGCTATTAAGTGTAGTCTGATGCCGCAGTTAAGGCAAGAGTAAAGTAACTGACAGATGTGGTCACAAGTTGTGTGTTTTTGGGCCCACGCCTTCTATTAAGTTCTATTTGTTGTATTCTGTTTTATTGTGTTTCTCTTATTAAATTAATTTATTATGGTGAACTAGTCTTGTCGATTGGAAGTGTCTCCCTGCTGTGGCTTGGAGTCCCTACTACACCTAGGGAGCATTGTGAACATAACATGAGAGCCCCTGACGTTGCGCCGCTCCTGTCTTGGACGTAATAAGTGCTAGATATCCGGAAGGAGACGGTGCATTACTTTCAATTTCTCATCTCTAGACTGTATGTTCAGATTGTACACTGCATTAGTTAGATCTAAGCTTGAATATGCTTCCGTAGTCTGGAATTCGATTACGTCAACTGATGCTAACAAGCTGGAATGTATCCAGCAGAGGTTTGCGGCCCTTTGTTTTAATCGTTTCTATCCTCAGGTTCATAGGTTATTCTCTTGCTCTTGAGCAGTTAGAATTGCATACTTTACGTACTAGGAGACATCGCCTTGGTACTCTCTTTCTTATTCACGTTTATTTTGACTCGAAATTTTGCCCTTCTGTTGTAGAAATTGTTGGTCTCCGAGTTCCTGCTCGGTATATCAGAGACTTTGCATTGTTCAGTATCGCTCCTAATGTAAGAATTGTCCCTCTGCTAGATGTGCAGCAGCTGCTAATGTTGTCTGAAGGGATGTTGACGTATTCGGAGCCAGGAAAGTTCTCCCTAACGATTTTTAAATATAGTACAATTGTTAGTATTGTAACATGTTTCGTTACTGAATACGCCGTAGAGATGGTTAATTGGTTTATTGAACAATCTACAAGTATCGGCTACAATTAATTATCACAATGTTACGGGTTTCCACACTTTACAATCCATACAATAAAATCTCTTAACACTATCTTCAAGAGTCTTCACGTATTAATAACGCGGGAGCTATACAAATCTCCCTGAATTACACACTCCAAATATAACTGTACTACAGCACTCACTAAATCTCGAAAGC